GTGCTGGGTGACTCGCAGGCCAGACGGATGTGCGAAACATGGACTATGGACGACCCCAGTGTCAACATCGACGCCAGTGGGACTCGAGGCGGATGGACAACTACAAACCTATTATCATCCCTAAAATCCATAATGCCACATCTCCGTAAAACATGCTTTCTAATCATTTCTATCAACGACATATTTAAACGAGTCCCCCCAAATCATATCAAATCAAATATCAAAACCATCACAAAACTCATTAAAGCCAGCAGCAGAAATATCATCATTTCAACCCTCCCCCCCCACCCTCAACTATAATCCTCAACATCAAACTCAAATCAAAGAAATCAATATTTTCATTCAATCCTTACACAATCCGCCCAGAGTAAGAATTTTACAATTCCACAAGCTATTCCACCCTTTAAATAGTACACGGACGAAGAAATATTATAAACGTAGATATCCTAATGGAAAAAGGGACATTGTTCACCTGTCACGAGAAGGTTATCGCATGCTTATCGCATCACTGACAACACTGCTATCGGACCATTGTTGAGCGCTGGCCCACCCCTCCCCGCTGCGCCGCTGACTCACCACAACAATGGACTACTACTACTACACCACAACAATGTACGAGCCCAGCTGTTCGCCACTTCTGACAACACACTCTGCGGGTGGTCACCTTGGTGATACACCAAAATGTTATTCTGTGCGCGGGATGCCTTTGTGTGTTCAATAAGGGAAATGATCAGTTGATGTCCTTGTTACAAAATAGATCATTGTTATAGTTTAGTGTTATTGTTGCCATAATTTAAATTGTTGTCGTTATTGTTGATTGTAAATTGTAATTGTGTTCATGTGTATCGTCGTGGTCCACCGGCTAGACCAAAAATGCTCCGAGGTAGTACGATAGGTTGGACTGTCCTAGGCCGATCACGGATCATTTTTTTCTGCTAGGGGGCATTTTGTACCGATTTTGTTGTAAAAAGGCAACAAATCAATACAGGGTAACGCGAAGAACAGTCAGCTGGTTTAAGCAATAGATCAGTATAGACCAGAATGCACCACGCACTAAAGCAGGAGAGGGGAGAAGTCTAGCCGGGTGGTCATTTGCTCCCACGAGTAGCCAGTTCCTATCCAAATCTCATCGTAACTAGTTCGGTAAAATTGTTTTTCGTTCGTGGAAATTAAATTCATCTCGCGGCGTTTGGTCGGGCAATCTTAAATTTCCTTAAAGTCGTACAGCCTATATCCCTAAGGGATATAATTGCCCCGCGATTGGAAATTAGAATCAGTGTCATTGTCAAAAAGTGAAAAAGTTCGTTACCGGCCAACGCAGTTCCGCCATTTGAAAATTACTTGTTCGTTTCACGAGTTCAATTCATCGCGTCTTGTAGAATACCGGCTAGTTACATTTCCCAATCCCTTCCCCTTTATTTGTGTTATATTTGTGGACGTCCAAACTGTAAGTAATTTGTGTTATTTATTTGTTAATTTAAGATTTCAGTGAGTCGCACTTTTGTAAATTTTTCCTGTCTTGTTTTGTCATTTCATGTAGAATAAGCACATGTTCACAGGTTCGAATTCAAATCACTGATTTTCATATCCATTCATATTGTAGCAATCCGCTTTATTAATTAGATTGTAATAATCCTATAGTATTAAGAATAAATAGGTAAAAATGTTTTTATAGGGCAATTCAGAGTTATTTAATAAGATTTTTATAGTGTTGGAATTTTTACACAGAGTCATTGTTAATTCTCATTGTTGAGCGAATGGTACAATTCTTTTAAAGAGTGTCACAGTCAGTATCTTTTGGGGGAAATAAATTATTATCAGAGGAGGGAGCAGGTAGCTGGTTCGATTGATACGGAAGTGTTGTTGGAGGTTGTGCCAGTTTGAACATAGATGAACCACCAAAGTGCCAAATTAGCTATAAAATAATAAAGCAACATTCTGATAAACATTACTACGATTGAATACAATATTGTTCAATCAGTTGGACTGCGAGACGACCTTCGTTTTTAATCGTTGGCCAACGAAAGGATTTGCTTGGTACAGGTCATCTCAACCATTAGATTAAATACCACTCTTCCATTGATACTTTCGAGATCGGTGTGAAACCGCACCATACCTCCCCTTTGATAAATCCATTCAACAGTTTCAATAAATTTCCAACTGATTGTGTATCTCAAGGTCATTTTTATTTAAAAGAACACAACAACGACTGTAAACTGAAACAAGTGTATTTATTAAATTCTGTGCAATAAATTCAAATTGTTACTCACTTTTAGTTCTCAATAACCTTGGTATTTTAGTATATGCAATAGTATTTAATTGATAAACAAAAGGTAATTCAGTAAATCATAAGCCACTACAAAAGATTCACCTTTTAAGTGCAACACTAGTCACTAGTGTAGTAGTGAGCAAGTAAATTCAGTGTAGAATTAAGACTGGTAAATTGATCTCATTAAAGGTATTACTTTTTTGGAAGAACTACAAACAGTGCCAGGGGCGTCCCCTAAGGACCTTTGGGGAATATTTATATTTTGCAGGGTCCACTCATATTTTTCAATAACATCAAGCTTCCACTGCCAAAAAGCTCTGTCTGATATTTTTATTTTCTAGAGTTCTTCCAACCCAGGGGCAACCAACATTTGTAAAGAATTCATTTGAGAGCATTGCAAGGAGCAAATATATTTAAATATAACATTTAAATATATGAGAGTCTAAGTCAGAGTTACTTTTCTTTTTTTTCTTTACAATATTGTCAATTAGCAGTTTTGTTAAGAAATAAATAACTTTTAGTCGAAGAAATATAGGATATGACCTTAAAAAAATTGCAAGAAAACGTTTTATGGTTTTATTTTGAAGAGTTGGGTTTGCAGAATGACATACTAAAAGTTGCCAAAAATCGGTGCACGAGAAAACCACTAAAATCACAATTTAAAATGGCGGCTATTTCCAACATTGGGCAAACTAAAAAACACATTTCACATGCATTTGTTATGCACATTTTTCGAGATATTGACTTGGGACCACCGCCTGTATTTATTGGGTGGTTAGTACTTCATTTTGATAGGGAACATGTTTTTGGCCGCCATCTTGGATCCGCCGTATTGGACATAGATAATTTTTATTCAAAGTAATGATAGTGTTGTGACACATCATTACCAACTACACTTTTACACTGATTTCAATGCCGAAATCCGTTTTTAAATATCTTTATTCATTTAGAAGATATATTCAAACGAAAACTCTCCACCATACATTTCTTATGGACGTTTCGTAGTTTGATAATTTTTTCAAATGATTTTTCTTATATCTCCAGTTCCTTTTGACGCTTGTAGTTCGTTCTAGGCTTAAAATATTCAGTAATGTAAGGGCTTTCATTTGAGCTCTTGATCATTAAAATCAGACGACTTAATGACCAGCCACGAACCTTAGAACAATATTAAATTTAACTTTTTAGAAATATATATTTTATTAAAAGATTTATAACTGGGGTTGTTAATACGTCACAAAGTTATTTCTGGTCTCAAATTACTCAGTAAATGTTTGGCTTTGATTTGAAATGTTTGGTATTGATCATTAAACAACATCTGACAATTGTAAAATAAGTCATGGACCATAATTTAACATTATAATGTATTTATATTGAAATTTGTCTTTAGTTAAAGACGTATATCCCCAATTCTAAATAACTCCCAAAACACTTTATAGTCTTAAATAATTCGCCAAATTATTGACTTTTATTTTAGCTATGGATTACTTTCCAGGAGTTATTAGGGTTTGGGATATATGTCCTTAACTAAAGACAAATTTCAAAATAAATACATTTGAATGTTAAATTAAGAACCATGACTCATTTTAAAATTGTCAGATTTTGTTTAGTGATTAATAAAATCAAAGCTAAACATTCACTGAGTAATTTGAGACCAGAAAGAACTTGGTGACGTATTATCAACCCGAGTTATAAATCTTTTAATACAAATATATTTCTAAAAACTTAAATTTAATATTGTTCTGAGGTTTGTAGCTGGTCTTTAACTCGTCTGATTTTAATGATCAAGATCTCAAATGAAAGCCCTTACATTACTGAATATTTTAAGCCTAGAACGAACTACAAGCGTCAATAAGAACTGGATATATAAGAAAAATCATTTAAAAAAATTATCAAACTACGAAACGTCCATAAGAAATGTATGGTGGAGAGTTTTCGTTTGAATATATCTTCTAAATGAATAAAGATATTTAAAAACGGATTTCGGCATTGAAATCAGTGTAAAAATGTAGTTGGTAATGATGTGTCACAACACTATCATTACATTGAAAAAAAATTATCTATGTCCAATATGGCGGATCCAAGATGGCGGCCAAAAACATGTTCCCTATCAAAATGAAGTACTAACCACCCAATAAATACAGGTGGTGGTCCCAAGTCAATATCTCGAAAAATGTGAATTAAAAATGCATGTGAAATATGTTTTTATTTAATTTGTCCAATGTTGGAAAAAGCCGCCATTTTAAATTGTGATTTTAGTGGTTTTCTCGTGCACCGATTTTTGGCAACTTTTAGTATGTCATTCTGCAAACCCAACTCTTCAAAATAAAACCATAAAACGTTTTCTTGCAATTTTTTTAACGATCCCTATGTAAGTTTGTTTAGTTTGCTTGGACTATTTCTTAAATGAACCTTCATGTTATGTTTATTTTCAAATATGATGATGTTTTTTCTGGAATGTTAATTTTTTTCAGATACAAAGTCATTTTTGAAAGGTAAAAGGGTATTGCATTGTTCGTTATGCCTCTGAAACTAGTCTTCAAAGCTATTTAACTGTGCATGGGCTTCTTCATTATATATTATTTCTTTATGCTGAAAAATTCTAAACTGTTCTTTGTTTAAATTAATCAAAATCATTTGTGAGAAAAAAGTTCTGTAAGAAAACGTTAACCACAGCTCACAATTAAAAACATTAAAAACCTTAATAAAATTATATTTAAAAAACAAATCGTACCTCAAGGAAAAATAAAGTGTTACAACGCTTCAAAACTTGGTCTATCCGATCGTAGTTCTTGACCTGGCGTTGTTCTTGAAGCTCCTCCAGGTGTGCCAACAGAGCAAACCTGTCAGAGTAAGTGTCTGGTTCAAGCGGAGTGATGAACGGAGCCTTGGACTGGGCAACCTGACTCAGAGCCTCCTTGTAGGACAAGGGCCCGCACAGTAGTGACCTATGGACCAAATGTCAATAGACATTGTCTGGATATTAAATAAATTAGATAGGCCTAACTAATTTAGATTTGATTTTAGATCCAAAGTCAACACACAATTTAAACTGTGTAGACCTTTTTGTAGCCTATAGCTTAAAGTTGCTGATATAAAGAAAAAAATTGTGGTGCTTTATTGCCAGGAGGAATGAAGGACACTCAAACAGATAAAACCTAAGATTCAAAATAAATAACACACAGGAAATCCAAATTATCAAAACCACGAGTGGAATGTTTACATAGTTTAAAAAAAAATTTAATCTATGAATGTCAGGATGTATAATTAAGTTTGTATAATTTTAAGTTTGTATAATTAATTGATCCTTTACTGTACCAAAATGTTTTTTAAAGTACGTCTAAACTCCTCTAAAACAAGAGGGTTTTCTAGGAATTGAATTGTTCTTACGAATTAAATCCTTTCTAGGAATTAAGTCCCTGGCGGCCGAAAAAAAAGCGTGCACGCAATGCGAGGGTTGTTCTTATTAAAGTACAGATTTTCTTAGATGTATCATGTTTGTGTTCTCAATTTTAAATGTATGACAAATCTTAGAAGAGGATGAACCTGAGGATGTGGCTGTCACCATGAAACATGTAGTTCATTAACGACAAACAAGGATATTGTAAGGTAAGTAACAAAATATTTCTATTAATTTAATCAATATCCAGAAGTAAGACGATGAATTATAAATCGTTCTTCTCACACCTAAGCTGGCAGTCAGTCAGTACTGTAAAACTATTTTACATAGCAAATCGATGAACAATATAAAAATCATAAGTGGCTTTCATCTGACAGTTCCAACCAATAAATTAAATCCTATACTCTAAAACAAGCGCTTGTGCGGACCAACTTTTCGAACAAGGATTTTAAATTATTTGGTATATTGAAATGTTATCGACTAACGTCAATACCTTTTTGTAGCTGCAGTTAAGAAAACAGCTGATACAGGTAGTTTTTATTGCAATTTATGTATTTATAAAGGTGCATTAACATTTTTTCTTTGAATCATCAAAAATGTGTTCACATTGATTACCGTATAATAAATATCTTTAATTTATCTAAATAACCCATCAAATAAATATAATGTTTAATTCCAACCGAGCAAAGTTCTTTCTCCTGGTTCTAAATGAGAAAAAAAATTGTGGAATGGCATTCCTAGGTTTATTTTAAGAGGGGGAAAATTGTTAGACATTTTCATATTATCTTTTAAGGAAAAAATGATGATCACTAATAGTGCCAGCAGTGAATCGTGAATCAGAATTTCGGCTCATTCCTATCTTAAAATTTTAACGCAGATATTCATTGCTAAACACAGGCGTATCCACAGTTATAAAAATTCACAGCTTAATCACAGATCGGTTTTGAGATTTTCATGTTTGAGTCGGGTACCCAGATTTAATACATAAAAATGAGATTTGAACAATCCTACGCATTAGTGCACAATAACATTTTACCTTGAATAAACCTTAGTAAATAAATACCTCGAAAAGAAGTAGGTAACTTATCTCAAACTATAGGCTATGTATAGTTTTTATTACCTTAAAACTAAAACAAATTTGATAAAACTCACAGCATTCTTTTCAAATTTTCTTCATCTTTTTCACTCATGTTGTCATATCTTTCCAACTTGTGTATCAGGAATTTGTTATAGTAGTGTGGAACTTCAAACGAGCCAAGGGGCACTTTGATGACAAGTTTGAACTTGCTGTGAAAAAAGTAAGAGGAATTATACTAGAGGATGAAATAAAATCAAAATTAAATATGATGGATTAATCTCCATACATTTGAATAAAAAAAAACTGAAACTAGTTTATCAAGGCTCGTTTTTTCAAAGAGAAATTTAATATTTTAAATTAAATGTTGCATCTCACACATTTAATTTATTTATTATTTTGCTTTAGAATTGCAATTAGTCCAATCTTTTGACTCTAATAAATTATTAATTGATTTTATTATGTCTATTTTTTGTTTTCTCTCCAACCTTGTGAGCACTTAAGTCAAAATTTGAAATACAAGACAATAAATGTAAGACAATTTTCAATTAACACACACATAGAGTGTATAAGTAAAAAAGTAACAACATCCCCAATTTTATGTGCAACCGTGCAACTTATGAAGAATCTACCCATCCTGTCAGCTCCCACTGCATCTATTAGGTAGGCCTTCCAAACTATCCTTTGAGAGAAAAAAGGCTTAAATCATAACCAAGCTATAGATGGATTGTTTCAATGATTAGATTTACATCACGTTTACTTCCCTCCTTTTACAAGCATTGATTGAGAGTGGCATTCGTCGTGAGACTGCTTCATATAATCGCATGAGGAGAAGTCAAAGAGACTTAGAGAGTGAGTTGTTCAACACGGAAAGAGTGTTCAACAGTTCACAACTTGATGTAGTCAACCGTTAAAGACCTTGTACCAGAAATATTAGTTGAATTGTTGATGACATTGTTATAGCAGTAATTAAGTCTGACATTATATTCCAGCAAATAAGTTTTGGTTAAACTATTTTTGTGTTTGTTTAATTGTTTGTATAAAAATCTATTAACACCTGATAAACAAGCTGTCAAACAAAATAATCATTTAAAGTTTGTTTTCATTGTTTATGTTTACTTCTTAGCAGTTTATTTTTAACTGGATTTTTTACATTATTTATCTTATTTATTAGTTCCTATCTTATTTATTAGTAAGAGAATGTTTATTTATTCCTGTGTTAACTATTTCTACTTCAAAAGCTTCATACAAACAGTTGTGCATTATCAACATTTCAACTGTGTTTTAACACAGCTTAAAGTGAACATTGCCATTGCACACTTTTTTTGGACACTCCATTTTCATAGACCAGCTGGAATCAACTATTTTATAAGACAGGATGAAAAGACATCAAACTTTACTAAACCGAATACAATGTGCTGATGGCAAAGTTCAGAGCTATTGATAGTCAAAAAGAAGTTTGAAAACTGTTGATCTGTTTGAAAAAGTTGGTGTAGGCAACAAAATGTGAAGTTCATTAAATTAATTCTGAATAAAAATCTTAACTGGATATCCCAAATAACCCCTGATAAAAACAGTTGTAAAATTTTCACGTCCTAACTTTTTACAATCACAAAATTTTGGAAATAGCATACTGGGTTCATAAAAAAACCTGGTCACCTCAATAATGCAGCTCAGCGATAAAATGTCCTAACCTCACTGGTGTAAGTAGGTTTGTTGGGAACATACAAATTTTTAGTTTTACCTAACCAAAAATTGTAGACAAAATAAATTAATATAATGTGGAATTCATGTTCAAAGTGACTTTTTTACGCTTGATAAAATTGAAGCACGAGGCATGCTGAGTGAATATTTTGCTCTTGTTTACAAAGCGCCGCATTGCTCACTAGTTGAAAAATAGCTATTTTTCCACATATAATCGCATAGCCTAAACCAAGAGCACCCAGTGTTCACATCATGCAATATCATAAATTTGTGTTTTTGTTTTTTTTTATAAACCAGTGATTTGACTTACTTTTGTTCTATATACTCAGCAGGTAATATAGGACCTTCCATTTCCCTAATGATGGTCTCCTTTTGATGGATGTACGGAGCTGTCGGGGCCAGTTCGTCCATCAACTCAGACTCAACACGGAAAATCTGAGGGTTAAGAGTAAAATTCAACAACTTCAATTGAAGTATTCGATTTCTTGAAACACCACAGTTGACATAGATTAATATAACAGGAATTATGACTCCTCTCGTCTCACCTCCTCCTACCCTTGAGACCCAATGTTATTAGAACAGCTTTGATAAGTTAACATAAAAAAAAATCTTTTTTGAAAACGCAACTGACTAAGTTTAGGCATAAACACAAGATGTCAGAAACTTGTTGTCAAGTGCCTTATTTACATACCTGTTTATGTCTTAAGTAACTTGTTTTACTTTGCTTAATAACTTGTGATATACTTTGAATTTTGAAACTTTGAAATAATTCAATTATTGTGTATCACTTACTCTTAAAATAATTTTGATCTAAACTTCAAACAAAGTCATTTGCACCGTTGCACTATGTAGGAGTACCAAAACTGCCAAACATGGCAAGTAAAAAAAAATCATAGAGGGATATTTTCTTTCCAAAAATAAATGAGTGATCAAATCTCTGCATGCACCCTCAACAGTAATAACCACTAAACTATTATATTAATCAATATGGTTTTCAAAATATTACTCATAAATAATTGTTGTACAGTATGCTAGTACTGTGATGTATTTATTTTCCATAGTAAGAACGATTGGTTATAATAATTTTAGTTAGCATTTAACTGCAAGATTACACTAAAAAAAATATATATAGGTATTTTAGTTTTATGTGAGTGGAAAAGCAGCCGAAAACACCCTCTTGCATTTTAAATGTTTAGCACCTGATTGAGGGTTTAAAACTACATATATTCATGACATTTATTTTAAAAATTTCTCAAGACTTTGAGTTAGGAAATAAAAAATACAACGCTCTTGTTTTTTTTTCTAATTTAAAACACTAACCAAATCCTTGAGCAGGCAAAGTCTGTTGGTAGACATGACCTTGGCCACTAGAGGGTACAGATAGGCACCAGGCTCCTCAAACTTTGCAGATACATTCACCTCAATAGGAACATCTGTGAACAATGAAACACATTACACATCTGCAAATGTAGCAACTCTTGCTCAACAAATCCATGCATTCTCTGGTAAGGCAAAAACCTTTGAAAAATGTTTGATTCTATTGGATTATTAAGAAAGTTATGAAATGAAACCGTTCTAAACTTAACACTTGTTTTTACTGTACATTGAAGGCATAACATGAAATAGATTTACATGAAAATTTGAATTTAATTCAATCGTCAGTTTATCTTAGTTATCTTAAATTCCTATCCTTCTATGAGACTGATTTTCTTTTCAAGCTTCTTTTTTATCAAGAGAATAAGGACCAGTCCAGTACCTAATCAAGTACTTGTTTATCACTTAGGTTGGCTATGTTCATCACTGAGTTTATTCAAATACACCTGTTGGCATGGGGAGATTTGGTCATGTTTTGTTTAACAGTGGGCTTGAAGGTAACAGAGATGTTACTATCAGTGTGTCAAACTAGCTGGAAGGGATATACCAAGTCTGTCTACACATCGTAACAAACTACAAGAATATTGTATATTGTATAACCCTGCTTTGTTCAATTCACAGGTGTTTTCAAAATTGCCATCCTCACAAGGATGAGGACTGATTTACAAGTAAAACTTCAAACACACAGTCTGTTGCTGACAACAGCAGAAACTCTCTTCACCCTTGCTTATTTGATTTCAGGCAACCAACCCCATGAACTTCAGCTATACCACAAAGTGATGATACCTTGGAACACGTTGCTTGCTTTGCTAAGTTACTTCCCACGGTCTACCCAAAGGATGTAACAAGTGATTCTCCTTCACAAGACTAGTAATTAGAAGCTTAGGCTTGATTAAGCTGATGAGAAGGTTGGATACAGGTTGCTTGTCCTACACTATTAGCACTGTAGGCATATATTGTACCATTAAGTAAAGAAAGAGAAATAACATTTTAAAATTGTAAATTACATCTCAAACTACTTACTATTTAAAAACGTGAGAGGTGTCACACTTATTTCACCCAGGTTGAAATTTTTGAATATTTTAATGATATTAGCCTCTGTGTAAGTTTGACCTCCTAGCGAGACATTGATGTTGAGATGGCACTGCTCTCCGAGGCGTAGGATCACTTCTTTGTCATCAACGTTTCTATTAGCTATGAAAAATGAGGCGCCACCTACAGCTGATTTGAAGGATGACCTACAGAAATATTTACATTGATGAAGAGAACACATGTGATAATAAATGTTGATAAACATGTATTTTAAATTAAACAGCACTGAAAATAGAACACAAAATAAATTACCTATAAAAAAATAAATGATTGCAAAAATATAGTTTTAAATGTACAGGTTTTTTTTATACAACCCAAATTATAAGTGAGAGTCACTGTATCACAAAACAATGTTGCAAGTTGGCAACCTTGATTCCTTTATTTCCTTACTGATCAGCTGATATGCATTGTTGTCTGTATGGTTAAGGGTTATTGGAATTAGGTACTATTAATTTAAGAATAATAAACAACAAGGTTTTTTCTAAAACACAAAGAACCCATATTTTTTATTAATACACATTTATTTATGGAAAAACCCCAAATATTGTATTATTCATCCTTTACATTTTTAGCAAAATTCCCATTGAGAGAATAAATTATTGCCATAGGTGGTTTAAGGCCCGGGACTACTTTACTTTTTTGTTTTGACATCCCCAGAGGTCAAAAATACAATCCGTTCAAATTCATCTATGTCATACCAATATTATAATGTGAAAGTTTGTGTGTTTGTTTGTTCGGTTTGGGTTTGTAGTGGTCGGTTTGGACTGAAATTTAGCACGATGAAAGCTCACATTCTCTATTAACATATAGGCCTATTCTTAGCTCAAAAATCCTTTTGGACTCCACCCCATTGGCTCAAGTTACCGCCCCAAGGCCTTAACAGCTTTTTCAACTAAACAAGTTTGATCCATGATAGGGAGCGAGCTGGTCTAGTGGTTAGAGCACGAGACTTCGGGTCCTGAGGCCCCGGGTTCAAATCCCACCAAATCACCAATGGTTTTGATCTAAGTGATAATGCCGCAACCCATAGGTCTAGTTTGAAGTAATGTGAAAAACAATTCTGGGCTTGTGCCTAGAGTCGTAGGACAAAAAAATAATATATATATACATATATGATGTTGAATAGCGTTAAAAATTTACTAGGTTTACCAAAAGTGTGCAGCTCTATTCACTGTCAAAGTTTGATTGTTTACAGTTACAAGTATGTTTATGTTTTTAATTTAGCTGATTCAACTGGGTCAATTGAGCTGATTCTTTCCCATGAATAGAGCCAATATACCAAATCAAATATCTGTGTAAACAAAGAGTGAGATTTGTTCTTTTATAATAAAAAATATTTACAAGAAGATGTGTGTTGTGTTTAATAATATAATACAAGAAAGTAAATGTTTTTGTAATAAATAATTATGAGCCATACGTATTTCCACTATAAAAAAAACTACTGTGACTGTAAGTAAAATTTATTACAGTCTAACTCCTATAATAACATACACACTACAACATTGAAATGCCAAAAACGAGTTACCGTTTCTCGCGATACAGAAGTCGGAACTTGTGCTCGTCATCGTCGATGTGCTGCTCCTTGCTCTGCTCGTTGATGAAGGAGACATCGCAGAGGCGACACTTTGTCTGATTGACCACCTCCGGTCGCTGGATCTTGTCCCTAAACACTCCCGTCTGGTCGACGTACACCCGTGCTCGGGTAACAAGGGTTGGTGGCTGCACCTCTGTAATTGCACAAAATTACTGTTATAATTCCTCAAACATACACCATACATGTGTCAAGTTGTGTCCATTTTATTTTGTTACCCTTCATTTCCACTTTTTGTTTTATTGAAGAATGTTTAGTTTCTTGTTTTGCCTATTCTGACTCTCTGGGTTGAGTAAAAACAGTTTCATTACTTTAAAGTTCTTTCCTATGTTTTATTTGAGTACTTTCTAAGGACTGCTTTAGATACGAGTTTCTGAAATATCATGAAAACTTCTACCTCTACCAAAAATGAACTTCATACAATTAATTGTAAATAAGACAACTAACTCAACTACACTTATAACTGGGAGTTAATTAAAACGATTCAACAGAATCAAAGTACAAGTGTAAACAGCAAAACAACAGACAACTATGTATAGTTTGTTATTAGAATGCCCATCTACACCAGAAACATGAGAATTGCTCAAGTCAAAAGAGAGGCCCTTCTATGAACTCTTCCAATGAATAAAGCAGCCTATTCACCATTATCATACAGGGCATTTTTAAAAAGGGTAGCTCCAACTCAAGCATTTGTGAAAAGTGTTCTAAATAAACAACAGTTGCACTCTGAAGCCGATGAGACTAATATATCACCATTGGTTGGTCACTGTCCCGAGGTTAACAGAGAAGGTTGGATGACCACTGGAGGTACTGTATTTGGGCTAGGCTCTGTTGTGTGGCTTTTAAAAGTGAAAGTGTTTAAAAAAAATATAAGTTGATTGAAAGTGGATAGTTTTTAGATTTTGATTAAACAGGGAACTAACAAACCAATTTTTGTTGCGAAGGTAATGTGGCATCAAAAAAGTTGAGTGAGCCTTTGTTCTAATGATGGTAATTTGATAGAAAGAAATTTATCAAGGATAATCGAGTTAATATTTAATTCAAATGTAAAATCAGGAAAAAAAGGAAATCTTCTGACAGACACACGCATAACTAATATTTTTGAATTGTCGTCGAATAATCATGAACATTTGGTGACCAGAAGTGAACTCCTCTTTATAGAACCAGTTGCAAACAGCCTAAATGAGGAAATAAAGAATACAAAGTAGAGATGGATAAAACACACACTGATGAAAATAAACCACACTCTAGAAAAAGAAACTGTTGATTGGACGTCACAAGGTGTAAGGAGAATAGGAAGAGGAAGACCAGTAGGACGATAAGTGTTTAAATAAATAGAGGACAGGAAGGAGTTGGGAAGAAGTGAAGAGAGGGACCAGTGAATGAAACTTCATGATATCATATACTATAGTGGGAGTTGACAGAACTAAGTTTTATGTAAAGGTACAAATTTTTTACACAATAATGTTTTAGAGTTTATCAGCCTACAGGAGGTTTTGTTTGATCATACGCACTATTTGTAATATTCTGTACACATTGTGGTGAAAGTAAAGAAAAGACTCTTGAGTTCTAGTTCCATAGATAACTAACTCTGTCATATTAGCAGGTTTAGGGTTATCAAACAGCCACGCTACCTTAAATATATGCAAGTTAACCTCAAGTGAATTTTGCACACCACACATTACACTATTTTATAACCATTTACACTTTGCTATTTTGACACTTACGGCTAGGATGGGGGTGCTTGACAACACGGACGGTTTTGTTGGTTTTTTCATTCTTGTTTCTTTTACGCACGACCTGGTACTGTATCAAAGTATTCAATAGGTTGGGTCGTACAAGACTCGTGTGGAACTGAGGTTGGTACTGGTTAGTGAATATGTCAAGTAACTGACTCGTAGAGATGACCCCCACGTTGCTGTCCACTGGATGTCTTCCTAAGGCATCTAGTAGCTGAAGATACGCTCCAAAATGAATGGCAGAATCTAGAAAGTAAAGTTATATTATACTAAGGATTTACAAGTTCAAACATAACGTGGATTAGCTTCAATCCAATATTTATGTTGATAGATGACTTGTTTCTGGACATTACTATTCCATTTTCAAATCTTAAGTGAAACATTTAAACACAGTAGTAATGAGATAATACTTGAGGGATCTAAAAGATCCTGCACTTCTAAAATGATTTATTTTACAGAAAAATTCAAGATACATTAGATACTGTCATGTTTTCAAACATCCATCAATGCCAATTGTAAAACTAAAGCATACTAAGGAGCCAACGGATTTCTCACCCTTTATAGCAAGACAAAAGAAATATTAATCTAACTGTACCCTCAACTTAAGGAAACAACTTGATATTTGATCCCTAAATCAATAATGGATGAGTAACTAACATTTAGTTTGACATAAATTGTATCATGAACTGGAAATCGCTTGGGAGCGATAATCACAAATGCAAGAATAAATAAACAGTAGGCCTATAAGATAACCGATACATATTTTCTCCCATTAGCTTGCCAAAAACTCATATACCAATGGGTAAGCTATGGGAGTAATGTTTCTATGATATTTTTTAGGTGAAATCACAAAAATGCAATTACTTTTGAACCGTAATTTTTACAGCATTGGGAGTTATAACATTTCTAGAGTTTAAAGGCCTATAGCATAATAACTTTTAACGAGGGTAGATACCTGTGTGTAAAAAACCCCTTATTGTATTATTAAATATATTAAATAAAAGTCGTTCAAACTGTTTTTGTAACAGTCCTATTTTTCTGTTATTTTTGATTTTTTGTATAACAATTTCTACGCCTGGAGATACCATGGATTAGTACTCACGTCCCACATAACAAAAAATGTCATCAAAATCAGACCACAATGTAATTACAACTTTTTGGGTTCACAGAATGGTTATTAATGGATTTCCACAAAAAAATAGCTCATAAATATCTACTTTAAAGTAAAAAAAAAATAAAAATAAAAAATAATAAATAAAGCGAAACTTGTATACTCAGCTACAGATCTCCATTCGCAATAAGACTAAGAAAGTAAGACGTCTGGGGTAGCAGAGAGGAACTCGGGTACAAGGAATGAACAAAATGTGTTTTTTAAATAAAAATTTTAAAGTTAAAAGCAGTGTGTGCTAACAAAGAAAAGTATAGTCAATTGAAAATAACATCCTAATGCTGTTATGCCGAAAAGCTGCCTAAAGCCTGGTGCATATTTTTTTAGTAAAGTTCGGTGCAGTAAAAGGGGTTATCTGGTGGCACAGTCTGTTATAGTATTTCCCACAGAAATAGCAAACTACCTCCAGTACACGACCATTCACAGGGAGTGTCTCCTTGATAACCCAAGATCTCATAGACAAGATACTGTCATTAAAAACTCATATCTGCTATGTGTTCAAAGTAATTAAATAAAGTCACAATGATATTGGTACCAACCTCTAACTGGGTTTTCCATGTGATCTCGGAGGCTTTGCGGGTCTGGCACCATTTTTATAGATCTCTCTCAATAACATTAACATCCACAAAGCATCAATCTAAAACATAAAAAAGAGCTTAGATAACTACAATAAAGCCAATAATCATACTGAGATAACAAAAAATAACACCAACTGGCAGTAAAGTACCCTCATAAACCAGATAAGTAAGTCGAGAACCGTGCTACATAAGTAAATCCAAATATGACTATTTCATATTTTATTTTATAAAACAATGTACAAACACATCAGAAATTTTTCCTTGATTTAAGGATAACATTTGAGAAGAAAATACTTAAGATTTTATTAACTTAATCAGACACTCAATTAGATACTCAGAGAAATCTTGTTTTAAAGCAGCAGTTTTATTAGCGATTCACATTGCCTTCCCTCTACAATGATATCAGGATTTGATATCTCTGTAATGTTATTTTAGAGAAGGGTTTGTCACAGTCACAGAGAATTTGACTGTTGAAACAATGAGTCATATTTTGTTAACTTAAGCTATGACTAACTTTTGTCTTATCACTCAAACGTGATGATATGAATGAAAAGAAAATTAGCTTGATAAAAGTAGCTTCAAACAACTACCGCACAATGTTGGTTCAAATCGTATATTTCATAAAAAGAGTAGAAAGTGGGTCATTACATATTTCAGACCATGTTTAAGTGCAAGATTAATCAAGCATTTTTAATATGGTAAGAGAATTTATTTACCCATTATTACTCGTGTTTTAAACATTACTATTCTCTACACTCAAAGATATTTTTTTCTTAATCAAAAAAGACATTGGATATTTTCTTATTACTTTATTACAGCTAGGAACATTACAAAACCATGGCAGTTTTTTAGGTTATGCCTTCAAAGTTAATATTTACTTTGGATGTTGAAAATTACAGTAGTTGACTAAACAATAACAAATCTTTCTTTGTTAACGTTGGCAAAATAAAAAAAAAGTTAACATTACTTTCGCATAGTAAAAATTCTTTTTCTGTAGTAAACAATGTAATGATGAATTTTTACATGTGATAAACATAGAACGAAAGCTGGTCATTTCAGAGTAGTGTAGAGAAAATATTTGTATAACAGTTAGGAACATTTCAAAGCTAATAGTATTTTTTAGGTTAAGCTTCTATTTAAATAATTTAAAGAAAGTAAGTGTACTTACTTTTTGCTAATCATTTATTTAAACTCAATACGAGATTGATGAGATAAAGAAATTGGGAAAAACAATAGTATCTTATCTATAATATTAAAACGAAACAGTGTTTTTTTATTTCACGATTCTGAATCAACCACTCGACGGATTTTCATGATTTTTGTGTTGAAAGAAAGATAATTTTGTGAACTAGGGAATGTCGAAGCCATAATTTTAGTTTAGGGTCCCAGTTTTTTAAAAATTAAGTTTTAATTTTTTAAAAGTCTAGCATCCGACGCTAAGATTCTAAACTAGCTTTTGACATAAAATAATTTGCTTAACATAACAGCTGTAAACATTCAGCTTTTGTGTCACAAATTCAGCATTTGGATAATAATTACATGCTTAGGGTTGACTTATTTATATTATGTGTAATGTTAATCATTGATACGTTCAATTCTTCTGTAAGAGGATGACAGATTAATTGAATTATACATAGTAAAATACTAGGATGTTAAAATTATTTTTTAAAGCAATCTTTGTAATCTTCGATTTGTTTTAGAGCAATATAATTAGTTTTAACTAACAGCTGGTTAAATATAAACTATGGAACTATGAGGTTATTTTATTTACTCTTATTTTGTCATTGATTATAGGAAATAAGTTAGATTAGTAGAGATAATTAGACCACAGTTTAAAATAGTTTAGACCAAAATTATTAAACCACAGTACAAATCGAGGCTCTGTACACGAGTCTTAATAAAAAAAGGATAAATGCAAATTATTTTACTGCTCCACTTTTCAAGGAAAGAATAGAAAAATAACAATGTTTACATGTTTTAAATCTTCATGGTAGCTTTTTGTTTACAATTAATGTTTGTCTGCTTTAACTTTGTTTGGATTAGGCAGGGAAATATTGATGTCATAAAAAGAAGATCAAGAATAATCAGGAATCACGATTTTAAATTACCACCACAACCTCAGCCGGGTTTTATACAAAGATAAACAGATGGATGACATAGATTGAACACAACGTCAAAATTGGCCTAGGAGACTGCAATTAGACAAACCATCCTTTTATGAAATCGTGTTCGCAGTTGTGGTTACGTTTGGGGGTGCCTATATCAGCACCCCCAAACGTGAAAATATCACTTTTATTTCAATTATGAATATGTTGTAGTTTAAATTAACTAATATGGGAAATTACTATGTACATTTATTCAATGAGGGTGGGTAATTATCAAGGATAAAACTGATAACAGCATGGATAATAAACATTGACAATTACGTCATTAGCTTTACTAGCGTGTTTACTTTTTATATTCCTGCTACATGTGACCAGTTCTTTTTTTTTCAAATGAATGTTATTCGAACCAAACAGCTGTTTCAAAACAAACTGTTATTGTTTTTAGTTTTCTTTGTTTACACTTATTTATTTAGCAATTAATGCAGTGAAATTGATATATAGGATAGGTGTGACGATTAGTTTTGATGTTAGGACACCAAAGTTAAATTATGTGTACTGTGAATTTTATTGGATATTATCGTTTTATTTTAGGTCGTTTCTATTCAGACCTACTGGAAATTGTGTATAGTAACTTAGCTGTATTGTGGGGATAATAATTATGGAAGAGGCAGGTATGCTATGGAAGGTGGTATCGTTGTCTACGTCTATACACTTCTCAATTGACTATTACTCTCTCTACCGTAGGCTACTTATAATCAGTGTGCGTCTGTGCGAATCGGCTGCAAATCTCACTTAAACGCTTTTCACATCGTAAAAATTGCAGAATTGCTGTTTTATTGTAAAAAAATTGGATTTAAAATGCATATCGTATTAGGCCTATGATGGAATAAAAACATATTTGGTCACACAACATCTGTTTACAAGATGATTTTTCACATTAAAACTGCAAGAAACTTTGTCTTTATATGTGTAAACTAGCTGATCTGAATTGTACACGATTTTAACTGACTACTGATTTCCCGTACGTAGGACGGGCTAACACCTCGTGTTCAGTTAAAAATATTTGTTATTTTCATAGAAGCTATTACAAATGAATTAAAAATATAAATAAAATACCACCGCTACAGCAAACCAGCAGACTAAGCGAATTTCCAATTTCCTGGCTTGATTTTCTACTAAAATATTCCCTTAAATTGTCAGATTTATTTCCTACTAGCGAACCTGGGGCACAAGAGATGAAGGATTTGTATTCATCTTTTTTATTTGACATTTTCGGGATTCTTGGTTTTGTTGTTAAAGGTGTAGATGTTAAAAGGTTAATTTATTTTGCAGTTTCCATGCTGTTTATGCAGTTTTATTTTGTGAGAGTCAGTAAAAGATTCTCTTTTGATTAATCAACGATAACCTAAATGATAAATTAAAGTCCCTCGTTCCCACCACCACCCCTGGCTTAACTCTGGGACTTATTTTCCAGGCCAATTCCCTGTGAAAATCTTCTTTCTTCTCATGATTTGGCCACTTTCAATCCTCGTCCAGACACATTATGTGTCCAAAACCCTAACAGCACGAACCCTTTTCCCCAACTACCCTGAGCGATAGGGATCATTGGGATTTTCTCTAACCTTTCCTCTCCCCTTCATGGGGAGGTTTTCATTCCTTTTCTGTTGTTTCTTTTTTGAATTTTAAAGCCTGTATGTATCCCTGGTTCTTCCCATTTTCTTAGCTACTTTCCTAAGGGTCTCAATTGTTTCCTTGTCTCTCATCAAGTTTTATTATCTCATCTCTGGACCTTCCCTATCCAAGATTTCTTCCTGATCTCTCCTATTTGCCTCATGAAGTGGACAGTTCATAAATACGTGACTCGCTCTCTATTTCTCCTTATCTCCATACTTCCTCTTTCTCCAGGTTAAATCTCCACAATTTCGCCTTGAAATGTTCATGTCCTGTGACAAACTGCGTTCAATAATGGATCTTCCAACCTTGTTCCTGTCTCCTTCTGATGTTTAGCATACATCCAAACGTTTACCTTTATTCCTCACTCTGCTCCCAGCGCATTTGCCACTCATCTAATTTCTGCTCACTTCTGGCACTCTTGCTTTCCGATGTACTCCACCCCGCCTCCCTATCTTCCAAAATCCTAATCCTTTCTTTAATAAGCAGGTCAAGTGGTATGGCTCCGGTCAAAACCCCAATCATATTATGCAATACTGTGTTGTATGATTTCCCTACTTTCAACAAAACTCTTCTTTGCATACTCAAAAGTTTCCTTTTCAATCTTATCTTCGTAGTATCCTTACCCCTGAATTCACATCCGAACAGCATTGCTGGCTCAACACACTTTGTAAAGCGTCGTCAAATACTTCCCAGTCATGCCTCTATTTGGTTTTTCAAAAGTCATTCCTTTACCTACAGTCACTCCTTAATCAAGCCTGAAGACATATCTATCTATCTATATAATTAATACGCCAACATAAAATTTGTCTTTTGAATTCCTTTGCCATTTCTTAACTGATTTTGACCATTGACGTCTCATTGGAAAGAGCGTGTCGCGTAGATTTGCAAACTGACCTAATATTTTTGAAAAAAATCTGTTGGGCTCTGCCCCAGTGGCTTTTAAAGTTCACATGTTATCCTTATGAAGAAAATATTTTTTACATTATGATCATACATCCGTGCACAAGGGTTATACATACATTAAAGCAGGCTACATTAAAGGGTTACATTAAAGCACAATAAATATTAAAAAGTACAAACAAAGAAATTTCACTAATATATTTGTGACAAAGTATCAAACTGACAACTAAGCAGTGACGTCATAGCCAACTCACAGCTTGACACATTCTTCACTTTCAATACGACACCTGCTGCCTGGGATTGTTTGAATTGAGAGTTGCTGACTGCACGCTTAGCACACTGACCACAGACACAGCCACTTCAAACAGTGTCTACAACGT